AAGTCTCTTTTCTGAATGATAATATCCCGGTTGAAAATCCGAAAGCATCAGATTTTAACTATCACAAGAGCCAAAATCCCCAAATGCCCCGAAGAAAATAGAAATCCTACTCAACTGCACTGCACTTCCCCTCACAAGAACCTGCCCCACACCCACATCGGCACATCCCACCCTACAACTGTGGGAGTCTGCGTCATTGGTCATGCATTTTCTAACGGCGGATTTACCATTTTTTAATAGGCCATAGATCAATAGAAAACCGTGGGAGTCTTTGTTAAATGATCTAACTGAAGGTAACAGTAGGATCAGATGGATAGAAAGAGAACCCTATGCTTATTGGAGAGGAAATCTTGTTGCTGTTGAAACTAGGCAGGACCTCGTCAGATGTAATTTCTCCTAAGAGCAAGATTTGGGTGCTCTTGTTTAGGCCCAGTATCAATTATCTAAAGGATAAGAAGTGGTACACCTTTTGATTTAGTATTATTAATAATATAATTATTAAAAAATTATTTGTTTAAATTTAAATTAAATGTAAAAAAATTTTAAATTTTAAATTTTAATAACTAAACTAATAAGTATTGATAGAGATTGTAAAATAAAGAATGTATCATTCATTTTCCTAATCTAAAAGCATTCCACTTTATCAACAGTGGTAAACAGCTTCTAATTCTTGCAAATAACATTTCTTTCAGGATTGGATTAGGGAATCAAAGCAAGGATACAAGCAATCAGAACCTGGCATGCCAACGTACCCACAGGTTAAACATAATTGACCTTGTCGCTACTCATAAAACCCCGTTCCTACGATTTTTTCACTAGGGACCTTATACTAGTGCCCCATAATTGGCCTGTTAAGGATGTCGATATGTACAGATCGATCAAGCATATATGCAGTTGACTGGGGCAACAAATTAAGCTAATCGGTATTTTCAAGTTCAAGATTGAGTTCAATCCGCGCAAACCTTTCCTGTTTGACGTGAACTTTTCATTTTGTCTTGCAAAATTCAACTTTTTAACGCTCCAAATTCTCTGTTTACTACTCCGAGTCCAGGATAAGAAAATATAAATTAAATAGGGCTTGTGTCAAAACATAGACATACAGTAAGAAAATAATTAGTATATTTTTTAGTTTAACATACTCTTTGATATTATTATATTTAATTATTAAAATATAATATAAATATGATTGATTTAATTAGTTTTTGTATATTTATGAATTTTTTCACATTTAATTTCATATAAAAAATAATAACTTTTTAACAAATATGTTGTGCATGATATTGAATCGGATGATGTATCAATCAATATCTTATTCAATAACATTATACATATATATATATATATATTACTAAAATTTGCTTGATAAAGCACAAGCCATTAGGAAGGCATGAAGCGAATTTATTCAATGAGATTTGAATTATGTTTATGACTACATGTTCTTGAGATTCAAGACTGGGTGCCCAAGAATGCATGTTGAGCACGGGAGAAGAAATTTATGATGAAATCCCTAGTAAACAGTCTTTTAGGCACAAGAAGCCCACGTAGATGCCGCCAGCTCCTTATGATCCTACATCTCTTTTCTTCTCTTCTTTTTTTTTTTTTTTTTTTTTTTTTTTTTTTTTTTTGTATGGAAATGATCCTACATATCTTCATACAGTGCTCAGGACAAAAAGGAGATTAAATAAAGACAAGTAGATTTATGGGAGAAAAAATTTTGGGAATATCAACAAGAAGAAAACAAACGGTAAAGAGAGTATTAAAGAATTTTGTAATTTCATATTATACAATTTAGTATTAAACAAGCTTGGCTATTTTTTCATTTATTTATACAGAACAAAGATATTTCAACCTCAAAAACATGGAGACAATTGACAAACCTACAATACACAAATGAGAATTAAAAAACTTCACACAATACAACCAGCATGCTAATTTATTTAGTATTTAGTATTAAATAGTCCCCATAAACATGGAGACAAACCTACAGTACACAAATGGGAATTAAAAAAACTTCACACAATACAACAAGACGTACTAATTTAAAACATAACTTAGTAACAAATGTAGCAATAAAAACATACTCAATAAATGACTCACTGATCTTCTGCTTTTCCACTTAATATATCTTCTTAAATCGTACCACTTTCAATTTTATAACTACAAAGATCCAGTCCTTAACATCATCCACCCATTGGAAATAAGCATATCTCCAGCTTTTCATAAAAATTAATGTTCCCATAACTCCCCAAAATCCAGTTGCAAAGCCTGACATCACCACAATGTAAAACCACATTTTTTCAATGGCATCTTCTTTGCTGTCCTTGGATCATGTAGTTGTTGGAGGCAACACATCATCTAAACATTTCTTCATGAGTGGAGCTCCACAAAGTTGAGGATTGCCAACATAAATGGTTGGATCTTTGAGTGTTTGGAGCTGATTACCAATCGGAATTGGCCCTGACAAGTTGTTGTAGGACAAGTTGAGGTGGCTTAACTTGTGTGAACCTGACATGCTATTTGGAATACTCCCACTCAATTGATTCTCAGAAAGATCCATTATCTCTAACTTAGAAAGTTGCCCGATGGTATTTGGAATACTCCCACTCAATAAATTCTTAGAAAAATCTATCATCTCTAATTCAGAAAGTTGCCCGATGCTATTCGGAACACTCCCCCTCAATTGATTACTATAAAGAATTAATTTTCGGATGGCCAACAATTTCCCAATCCACATAGGAATAGTCTCATTCAACTTATTTCCTGAAAGATACAACTCTCTTAAGGTTGAAATTGTCCCAAGAGAACTTGGGATTGAACCGACAAATGCATTCCAGCTAAGATCAAGGTACCTCAACCTTTTGAGGTCCCCCAACCAATCAACCATAAGACCAAATTCATTACGTGAAAGATTGATAAATGTCAAGGAAGTAATGTTTCGAAGAAAAATAGGTATTGGACCTTGAAAAGAGTTTAATGAAAGATCAAAGTGTTGAACATTTCTAAAAAATGTAAAATTAAGGGGATGGCTACCAAAAAGTAGGTGAGAATTGTTGAGATGGCAATTTGATAGGCTTATCCATGACAAAGAAGGAAGCATGCCAAGTACCTGGAACAAGTTTGATGATGCATTACTTAGACTTACTCTACTCATATCAAGTTGTTGCAAAGAGGAGAGATGAGAAATCCATTGAATGTGATCATCAACCTCCAATGCTCCATTAGAGAGATCAAGAACACGAAGCCTTGTCAAATTTCCGAGTTCACTAGGAATTCTTCCTCTGAAGTGCATATTTGAGAGATTTAAGTGCCTTAACTGCTTCATCAAGCCAAAGAAGGGTGGAATAAGGCTGCAATTAAAGTCGTTTCCGCTCAAGTCCAGGTGCTCCAAGTATCTCAACTTAAGCAAACTTGAAACAACCTCCTGTACATTATTATCAATCAAGTACAATTTGTGTTGATCATCAGATATCGATCCCCTGAGTTGAAGTGAGACAACATGGCTGCTACTTTTGTCACAGCCTACTCCTCTCCATTCACAACAATCATTGCCTTTCCAAGAAGACAACATATGGGATGAATCATTGAAACAAAGTTTCAACTTCAAAAGAGCTTCTCTCTCCCTTTCTATACAGCTAAAACTTGTGTTCCCACCGGAACAGAACTGTACAGCTCCAACAAATAATATTGCAACTAGAACAAGCATAGCACAGAAATTTTCCTTCATCATGATTATGGTTTTAAAATTGTGTGGAAGATGAGATGTGATTTTTAATTTTGATTGCACTTTAATATATAGTCCCATGGGAAGGTAAGTAGAATAACTTTCTCAAAAGTTACACTAAAGAAAAGATTCCGAGTAAAAAGTAGTTAAAGCAGCCTATTTTTGTTTTTTGCAATCATTATCACTCGAGTGCTTTTGCTCAGACTTTGTTCTTCCTCACACACACACACACAGACTTTGTTCTTCCTCTCACACACAACACACACAGACTTTGTTCTTCCTCTCTCTCACACACACACACAAAGACTTTGTTCTTCCTCTCACACACAGACTTTGTTCTTCCTCACACACACACACACACACAGACTTTGTTCTTCCTTTCACAAAGACTTTGTTCTTCCTCTCACACACAACACACATAGACTTTGTTCTTCCTCTCTCTCACACACACACACACAAAGACTTTGTTCTTCCTCTCACACACAGACTTTGTTCTTCCTCACACACACACACACACACACAGAGACTTTGTTCTTTCTCTCACAGAGACTTTGTTCTTCCTCTCACACACAACACACACAGACTTTGTTCTTCCTCTCTCACACACACACACACAAAGACTTTGTTCTTCCTCACACACACACACACACACACACACACACACACACACACACAGACACACACACACAGAGTTAAAGCAGCCTATTTTTGTTTTTTGCAATCATGATCACTCGAGTGCTCTTTCTCAAAAGTTACACTAAAGAAAAGATTCTAAGTAAAAAGTAGTTAAAGCACACACACACAGAGTTAAAGCAGCCTATTTTTGTTTTTTGCAATCATGATCACTCGAGTGCTCTTTCTCAGAAGTTACACTAAAGAAAAGATTCTAAGTAAAAAGTAGTTAAAGCACACACACACAGTTAAAGCAGCCTATTTTTGTTTTTTGCAATCATGATCACTCGAGTGCTCTTTCTCA